CTGGTGGTCCTACGAGAAAATTGCATAGGACCTTTCTTGTAGAGAACGACGAGATCTACAATTTCCATGTAAAAAGTTTTCGCTAGCGTCAATAGTTAACGAGCTATTTGCAAAAAACTGTTTTTTCGTTTTTCGTCAATAACTCGCTAAATATTAATGCTAGCGAAAACTTTTTGTACAGAAATTGTAGATCTCGTCGTCCTCTACAAGAAAGGTCCTATGCAATTTTCTCGTAGGACCACCAGTTTAGGAGTTATTGAGGGAAAACGAAATTTTTTGTCAAAAGTTCGCTGTTTCGACGCTGGGATGGTCGGATTTTGTCAGTACCTCTTTAATCTCCACGGTGGTAATAATTAGACAAGAAAACCTTTAGATAAATTCCTTCGTTTGGAAATAACGATCATGGAAGTATTCGGTATTACAATTGATTATGCTAGCCAGTCAGTCTAAGTCGCAGCAGACAGCATGACTGATAAGACTAGGTTTTTGAACTCCCACCGGAAAATTTCCTTATGATAAAAAGAATACACTACAAAATGTAATTTAATTAACGTTATCACTTTCAGTGTAATTATGCCACTACATGTTTGAGAGCTTCTCAAAAGGGATTACTCATTGACGTATACGTGGGATCAGATTATCCATGTATAAATATCGTAATCCAATCTTGGAATCTACGATGCTAATGATACTCCATATCAATTAAATATTTATCTCATTATATACTCCTAGGGAAAAGATCAGAAGTATTCCACGGTTTGAATTGAAACAGGTAACAGATGTCGAGAGTAATTAATGCTTTTCGAGAGCTGTGGCCAATGGAATGTTCCCTGTGCCTTCGGTATCTAATATCACATGTCCTGTGTTGATTAATTAGTCTGTTTTGCAATATGGGGCTGTCCAACTTCGACTCAATTGGTCAGATTATTAACAATACCATTGTTATGATTATCAAGCTGATAAACTGTTATTTTTAAGACGCACGTGTCCCTTGCCAGACAACATTACGATTTTATCTAACGTCGATCCTACAAGAAATTTCTATTATTAGATATGTAACATTTTTTCTTCAAATCTTCATTGACTATCTGATTTTTATGATATAAGTTAGTACCTAACTGTGGAGCCGAAACATGTGGCTCGACTAACGTCACCCAGCATCTCACAACTCCTGATCAATTTGCAAAGCGGATTTCACCAAGACACTCTCACCAGTTGCCACTTAACAGGTCGACTATCCGGCTGGCAAGGTGTACCATCGGCAGCGTAATGTCGTGGCAGAGAGGGGCAATGTTCATGAAAGCAGTCGACCGGACGAGATTCGGTGGAGGAGGAATAGGAAGGTGCACTTAAAGTGGTCGCTTTCGTTGACTGTTTAGTTTGTCCGGCAACGGTTCAGGACGAGCTCTGCTCTGATCTTTATGGAAAGAGATCCAAGTGACAGTGCGAGAACTAATTGATAAAATGAAGGAAAGAAAAGGGTAGTCGGGCCTCGATAAGATACTAGTCCCGACTTTATTGTTTGAAGGTAGATCGGTGCCAGTCTGGTCTCTGTTCGAACTTGGAAGTCGAAAGGACAGTTGGTTTTTCGAGGAACGAGAAGCTGTGGTCTCATCGTTCGAATTTAAGAATTGCAACCGGTTTTCGGATCTTACACTGGCTTCCAAGTCGTCCTTGCTGGTTCTGAAAAAGTCAAGACTTACAAAAAAAAAGAAAGGATACAACACAAGGATGAGTTTCAGTTGTGCTGTGATTGTGATATAAAGAAGTTGAAGAAGAAATACGCGAACGCTTTAGTATTTTTTAAAGAACTAGTCATTTATAAAATATCTTGTATTCACTTTCACTACTTCAGAACTATTTTTCTATAAAAAGAAAATTTAATTGAATTTTAAGGAAGAATGTGTGAGGATATTTAA